ATTTATCCTCCCTTCCCTATACAATCTTTATCACTGGGTAGCCAATGGTAGACAAGAGGAATTTCCTCTTTATAAAAGTACTACAACTATTAAATGAAAAAGGAATGACAGAATATCAGCATTTTGCAAATGCCAGTGAATTGCTGGGCATAGGCATTAAGCATCAGTGGCTGCTTGCATTACTTACATCATAAAAAGAGAGGTGATCGGACATTATGTGCCTCCTGTAGTTTTCCCAAAGGAATCCAACTCGAGTCCAAGCCAGTCTCTAGATCCAGCTGCCAACCTGCAGGAACTTGGCGAGCTGTTCATGAGTATGCGATCAGCAAATCCAGACTGTGGCAACCTCTACAGGTCAACTGGAGGAGGGTCTTCCTCAGAGAGATTAAAGGAAAATAAAGATGGAGGGGAAACCTCTAGATTATAAGAGAAAAGGTTGAAAGAGACTTAAAAAACATATCAAACTTCTTAAATGTCCAAAACTAAACTGTAGTGTCTATAGATGCACAGTTGGATGGAAAACAAAAAACTATAAAAATAGGATATCGATTACTTGTCAGAGGAGAAAGGAAGGGAACTGTGGTTGAAATGGGGGACTTAGATGGGCTTCTCCGTGTGGCAAAGGTCTATTTCTTGACCTAGTGGTGGTTACACAGGCGTTTGCCTTGGAATAATTCAGTATGTCATGCATTTGTACAGTTTCCTGTATTTATGTTTTATTTAAAATAAAAAGGGTTTTTTTTTTTTTCAAATAAGGAGAAAGAGGAGTGATACTGGTGAGTTGGAGCCCTGGAAGGAGAGCGCCTGCACCCCTCAGTGAGGACAACGCTGCTATTTGGGGATACAGAGGCAGTGAGGCCAGTTGACGACATTGACTGTGAAAGAGCAACAGTGATGAAGCATAAGTTTGTGGTTGACCAAGGCCTTGAAACCCCGGTGCCGAGGCCATTAGGAAACCATAAAAAGTATTCAAAAGAATAAAGAAAAGTGTCTCCATTTCAGTGACTCAGGAATGCTTCTAGCCTTCTGGGATACTCCCCGCCACCTCTGCCACCTCCACCTCTTTCATTTAATATTCCTATAAAAACTTATTGTGGACTTACCATATGAAAGGCACTATGCTACGCACTGAAGACTCAGCAGAGAAGATAGACATACTCCCTACCCTCTGGAGGCTAATATCCTAGTGAAAGAGACAAAAAAAAAGACTGATAAATATAATAATTACAAACGTTGACAGGTTCACACAAGGAAATAAGCAACGTGCTGAAGCAGAGAGACGTGGGGAATGCGGAGGGCTGCTATAGCTAGCTTGGTGAGGGAAGACCATAGGAGGAGCAATGTGTAACCTGGGACCTGAAAAATGAGCAGAAGTCGATTATGGTTAGAGGAGGTGGAAGAAGATTCCAGAAGGTGGAAGTAAAACGGCCCTGAGGTGACACACTTGAAGGACTGAAAGAAAATCGTTGTGGCTACAACTACTGAGAGGCAAGTGGCACAAGATGAGAATGGAGAGGTGACAGGGACCTGATTCTGTACAGTCCTGGGGGCCATAGAAAGGAGTTTGGACTTTATTCTAGGAGCCGTGGGCAGCTACATTACATTTAAAGCAGGGGAGCGGCATGATGTAAATTAAGTTTTAAGACCACAAACTGCTGCTATGCAAAAGATAGATTAGACTAGAGGGGAAGCAAGAAGACAAGTTGAGAGAGTGTTGTGGTCCAGGCAAGACAGGATGCTGGCTTGGATGACCACGGTGGTGGCAATGTAGATGGAGATCAAGAGATGAGTTCAAGAGATGTCATGACAGTGGAACCAACAAGACCTGCTGATAGATTGATGGGGCAGCAGAGGGTGCAAGGAGGGAAAGGACTGGATACCCAAGAGGAGCAGCATTGGCTATATGAGTCTGTAGCTCAATATACACATGACATTTAAGTCATGGAACCAGATGGAATCATCAGAGAGAGAGTATAGAGGAAAAAACAAAAATAAAAATGGAGGGTCCAAGGACAGGCCTTAACAAATACCACCATTTAGGACAGGGGTTGGCAAACTTTTTCTGTAAAAGGCCATTTAGTAATATTTGAGGCTTTGTGAGCCATACCATTTCTGTCACAACTACTTAGCTCTGCCATTGTAGCATGAAAGCCACCATAGACCACATGTAAACAAATGAGTGTGGCTGTGTTCCAATGACACTTTATTTATGGGCAATGAAATTTGAATTTTTTATACTTTTCAGATGTCATGATATATTCTTCTTTTGGTTTTTTTTTTTTCAATCACTTAAACATGTAAAAACCCATTCTTTGTTCATGGGCACTACAACAACAGGCAGCGCGCCAGTTTGGTCCACGGCCATAGTTTGCCTACCCCTGATTAGAAGTCAGAGAGAGGAGAAAAGGCCAGCAGGTGAGACTACAGGAATGCTGTGTGGTCCCATGGAAATTCCCATCCCAACCCGTCTCTGAAAGGCGACCCAACAGTGATTAAGGTCACCCGGTAGTAGAACAGAAAGCACCAATAGCAACTGCCTAAAAACTTTAGTGGCGGCCTGAGGAAGGTTAGTCTCCCTGGACCCTTCTAGGGATAAACCAGATTAAAGGAGACCTCAAGTGCCCTTGTTCTGAGGTTCTTCTGGTGGAGAATTTTGAGCCATAGGTGATTTTCTTTACCAGGGCAGTCATCCTCACACCCTTAATACTTGTTGTCCCAGCTGATGGTAAAAGGACAAAGGAAATGGAATATACAAAATATTGTAAATCTGGGGCAATTTTTTTTCACTGCGGGGACAGGAGAATCATAAAAGGAACCACTATTGATGATAATGACTATTGATGATAATGATAATAATGCTATGTAGGCTGTGGTTGGCAGAATTCTAAGATAGCACACATTATGAGTTGACTTGTGTCCCCAAATATTCATAAGTTGAAGTCCTAACCTCCAGTACCTAGAATGTGAACTATTTGGAAATCAGGTCATTGCAGAAGTAATTAGTTAAGTTAAGATGAGGTCATACTGGAGTAGGGTGGGTCCCTACTCCCATATGACTGGTGTCTTTATATAAGGGGGAAATTCAGACCAAGTGAAGAGGAAGGCAGAGCTTGGGGTGACACTTCTACATGCCGAGGAAGACCAAAGATTGACGGCAAACCACCAGAAGCTAGGGGAGAAGCCTGGAACAGATTCTTCTCACAGCCCTCAGAAGGAACCAACCCTAGGGACACACTGATCTTGGACTTCCACCCCTAGAACTGCAAGACATTATATTCTGTTGTTTAAGCCACCCAGTTTGTGGTGTGTGTTAGGGCAGCCCTAGGAAATGAACACAGCACTGAAGATTACCAGTCCTGGGTGTCCACACTCTGTGTAATCCCCTCTCCTTGAGTGTGAGTGGAACTTGTGAATATGAGGGATGACATTCCTGTCATTATGTTGTGTTATATGGCAGAAGAGATTTTGCAGATGTAATTAAGGTCCCCAATCAGTTGACTTGGAGCTCATCGAAGGTGTATTATCCTGGGTGAGTCTGACCTAATCAAGTGAGCCCTTGAAAGGAACTGGACCCTTTTCTAAGAGAGAGATTCAAGGCATGAGAGTGTAATGGCCTACAGAGAGCACCATGTGGTGAGGTCTCCAGGTGGCCTCCAGGAACTGAGAGAACCCTCAGCCAACAGCCAGCAAGAAAACAGGATCCTCAGTCCTTTAACCACAAGGAATCAAATTCTACCAACAACCTGAATAAGCCTGGAAGGAAACACAGAGCTTCAGATGAGAAGGCAGCCTAGCTGACATCTTGATTGCAGTCTTGTGACTTCCGAGTAGAGCAACAGCTACGCCATGCCCGGACTTCTGACCTACACAGCTGAGAGATAATAAATAGGTGGTGGGTTTTTATTGGGGGTGGGGGGGGTGTTGTGAGGAATATTGGCCCTGAGCTAACATCTGTTGCCAATCTGCCTCTTTCTTTTTTTTTCTCCCCAAAGCTCCAGTACATAGTTGTATATCCTAGTTGTAGTCATTCTAGTTCTTCTATGTGGGACGCCACCACAGCATGGCTTGATGAGCTGTGCATAGCTCTGTGCCCAGGACCCAAACAGGTGAACCCTGGGCTGCCAAACCAGAGCATGCAAACTTAACCAGCTGACCATGGGGCCGGCCCCAATAGGCGATGTTTTAAACTGCTTAGCTCGTGTATTTTGTTATGCTGCAATAGAAAAATAACATGCAGTCCAAGCTCTAAGCTGTGAGAATAATAATAAAGTTTTCTAAAATGACCTAAATACAATAGCGTGAGTGGGATTTTCTTTTTTATTATAACGTTAATCATAAGTAGGGAAAAAGTTAACAGTAGCAAAGCACTTTAGATTTCCAAAGTGCAATAGGGAAAAGAAAGTTTTCAAATATGCTAAAAATAATTTGACTAATTGCTATCAGTGGGTAAGAAGCACTCAGCTGAAACGAGGTCTCACATGCATTAGGGAGCATAATGAGCCCACCCCCTCACCCTTCAGACTCCAAATACACCTGTGGCCTGATAGAGGCTATTGAGGAGGAGGAGGGGAAGGAATTATCTTCTTCCTCCCACTCTTACCCCACAGAAACAATCAGCGACAGGGAACAAAGAGAGCCACATGCCTTCTTGTTCTAAGACCTGGGAGATGGGCGCCAGGTCGGGGAGAGGGGGCACCTTGGGAACTGTCTGCGTCACAGGAGCAGTATGACAGAAGCCAGGCGGTCCACTGACAGGGAGCAACTCTAACACACTGACCAGTGGACTTCTAGGCCCAGCTTCTAAGTATTCTTTCTCTCCTTTGGCACCTACTTAATGCTTGACCAAGGGAATAGGGAGGCTAGATAACAAAGTGGCATTTATTGAGTGCCTACAATGCATTAGGTACTGTACTAGATACTTCTACACTGAAATTTCAGTTAATCTTCATGGCCATCTGTATTAGTCAAGGTTCTCCAGAGACGCAGAATATATGGTCGTATATATGATTTATTATAAGGAATTGGTTCACACAATTATGGAAGCTGGCAAGTCCAAAATCTCCGGGGTAGAGTGGTGCCTGGAGGCCCAAGAAAGCTGATGTTCCAGTTCAGCTCCAAAGGCCAACTGCTCTAGAACCAGGAAGAGCCAGTGTAGCAGGTGAAAGTCCAAAGGCGGTCTGCTGGAGAATTCTTTCCTGCTCACAGGAGGCTGGCGTTTTTGTTCTCCTCAGGCCTTCAACTGATTGGATGAGGCACACCCACATTTTGGAGGGGAATCTGCTTCACTCAAAGCTTACCGATTTAAATGTTAATCTCATCCAAAACCCCCTTACAGAAACAGCCAGAATAATGCTCCACCAAATATCTGGGTACTCCCTGGCCCAGCCAAGTTGACACATAAAATTAACCATCACACCCTCTGAAAGGTAGATATTGCCCTCATTCTGCATATGAGGAAACTGAGGCTCAGATGAGTTAAGTGACATACCCAGTGAAGTAGCTGGTTGGAGTCAGGCTGCAATAAACCCTAGTCTGTCTGACTCCAGAAAGTTGGGGGTGGGGTGAGTATGTTGAACCTCGCCTGGAGAGACAGCCCAGTCCTCCCCCACCTATCTTCATAATCCTCAAACTAGTACCCACCCACCTAGCACCATTTGAGCCCCTGAAGTAAGCCGTGCAGTAAGCACTCAGGAAACTAAAATTCACCTCGGCGACAAAATGAAAAAGCTGCAAACATGTGTCAGGTCTTAATTTCTCTCAGGTAGGGGTGCTCAGACGGCTGAGTGGCTCCCCTGAGTCACACCAGAAGTGGGTGGCAGTGCCAGAACCAGGACCCAGGTCTGTCCACCTCTCCTGCTGCGAGAACCTCTCCTTTCTCAGATGACCACGGAGAAGATTCAGCACTCAGACGGTAGGACTAGCACTTACGTCCAACAATTTTCTTTTCTGAGCGGGATTGCCTGCTGAGGTCCACTGTGGCAAGAGAGTAGGTATTCCAAAAGCCTCTTCTTTGAGCAGGATGTAGACAGGAAGTATTCCCTTAGGACAAAAAGCCGACGAACACAGGAAAGTCATGTGGCTCATGTCCCGGGGCCCCATCCTGCTTCCCGCACGCATTCCCGGTACATCAACCCGGTGCCTCTGGTATGGCTCTGAATCCGAGATCCACCCCCTCAGGAAGCCGACTTCCTCCTCCCCCTCCAACCCCCATGTTTGTCCGCGGACCTGTGACATCTGCCTGCCTCCCGTCTGGAGGTGGGCTGCAGGACCACTGGTGACACCTAGTGGCCAAGACAGTGGCAGCAGCCAAAGAGCCAGGATTCTTGGTTCTCTCTTGGAGGTGACAGTAATGACCACTGACCTTGGACGAAGACAGCCCCCAAGGAGTCCATCAGATTCCCCAGGAGGCAGAACCCCTGCACGAGAGAAGAAAGAGAGGCAGGATAAGGGCTCAGAGTCAAGTGGCTTGAAAAGTAAAAGGAATGTGATATCGTTTGTCCCCCTAAGCTGGTTAAGGAGCACATATGTTAAAAAGCACAAAAAGGCGGGTAGCCTTTTGCTGATTCTGGTCCCTGGAAAAGGGCCAGTGAAGACACCCAGGGTCAGACTCTCTCCCACCCCTCCTCCGTCCATCTGCACTGTCTACTGTCCACCATGCTTGGTAGCCACTAGTCATATGTGGCTATTTAAATAGAATTAATTAAAAGTAAATTAAGGGGCCAGCCCAGTGGCACAGCAGTTAAGTTCACACATTCCACTTCAGCTGCCTGAGGTTTGCTGATTTGGATCCGAGGTGTGGACAGGGCACCACCTGGCAAGCCATGATGTGGTAGGCGTCCCACATATAAAGTAGAGGAAGATGGGCTTGGACGTTAGCTTAGGGCCAGTCTTCCTCAGCAAAAAAGAGGAGGATTGGTGACAGATGTTAGCTCAGGGCTAATCTTCCTCAAAAAAAAAATTAAAATTAAAATAAATTAAAAATAAATTTTTTAAAAAAGTAAAAAGTCAATTCTTCAGTTGTACCAGCCCCATTTCAAGTGCTCAACAGCCAAATGTGTGCTGGCTAACATGCCAGACAGTGCAGATTATAAAACATCTCCACCCTCACAGACAGTAATAATGGCTAAATGGTGGTCTATGGGCTAGGAAGTTTTTGTCCAAGTGTCTTTTACCTTTTTTTTCATCAAAGTTTTCTTTGGGAAGAAGGAAAGGCAGAAACCGTATACTTCACTAGCCGGGAAGCACAGACCGACAGAGAAGGAACTGACAGAAATCTGGCTTGAGCTGGGTATTTTCCAGATGCCACGTTACTGTGTCTCTCCCTGGAACGTGAGCCACGTAGGCGTGAGTGTTTCAGTTTCCATTTGTCCCTGGAAGTTAAGACAAGGCGTTCTCTCCCTTCTTGATTTCTCTTCTAGAGAAATAACTTTTTCCTCAAATGTATGACAAAGAAAGGATGCTTGGTGAAAATATTTGGGGTCCTCTGGTTTGGGATGAGGGAAGGCTTTTTTGGGACACAGACTAGCCAGGCTCTAAAGCGAAAAAGAAGTCCTGAACCAAGGGCCATTGGACTGGCCACTGATATCCAACCATCCTTTGTGTCTCTTGGTACCTCATTTACTCACTCATTCAACCAACTTTTACCAAGCGCCCATGACCTGCCAGGCATTATGCTAAGCTCTGGGGATACAGCCATGAGCTGAGCCTAGACCTTCTGTGATGGAGCCTACACAGAAAGGGGTGCCCCACAATATGAATAATGGTGCCACATCAGTACAATGGATCCAGTTTAGTCATTCAAGATATTACAACAGCTGCTTCGTTTCGAATTCCATAAGCCCACCCCTCTTCTGTGCCAGGCATGGAGCTCTCTGTTCACCATAGATTAATTCCTCCTCACGGCAGCCTTGTGAGGTCTCCAGTATTGTTATTCTCACCTTCCGTATGTGCAAACACACTCAGAGAAGGAGAGCAAGTTGCTCAAAGTCATACTACTGGTTCAGGAATGAGCCGGTGTTCAAACTCTGGTTTCACTAATTCCGTTTAGCAGGAAAAAAGGATATGTTGTCAAGAGACCTGAGTTCCAGGGTCAGTTCTGTTGCCATGTAGCTATGTGGCTTTCGGGCTAATCCAAAATCTTTCCGGGCTCATTTCTTCCTCTGTAAAACAAAGATGTGATACTGGAGAATCTTGAAGATCCCTTCCAGTTCTAATATTCAGTGATTCCAGAATGTCAGCAAGGACCTGTAGCTCTGCAGACAGACGTGCACAAGATAGAGACTCTTGTCCAGGTGTAAAGACAGTTGGATACAGTGTGACATGCCTCATGGTAGGAAAATAGAAGTTGCAATGGAAACACAAAGGATGAGCACATCCTTCCGGGGTGGTAGGGGGGACCACTGGCAGAGGAGTTATCAGGGAAAGCTTCCTGGAGGAGGTGATGGGTGAACAGAGTCCTGAAGGATGAGTAGAAATAAGGGTGTTGAAAATGTGGAGAAGGGAGAAGATACTCTGGGCAAAGGGAATAGAAGCGCTGGAGCCCAGAGGGAGGATGTCCACTGTGGGTAGTGTGCAGTTGAAAAGAAGGTGGGAAGGGGACCTAGAGAGGGGCCCCAGGATGGAGTTCATAACCTGCTCAGAAGCATTCACTTGACTTAGCGGGTTTGGGGCTGTCCCTAAACCGTGCTTCAGAGGGGAGGACAGCCAAAATTGCTTCTCAGCGTCAACATCAGCAAGGTTGCTTGTCACCAGCTTGAGGTGTGATCCTCTGAAGGCCACGAATAGTCACCCTCTGCCTTTCCACACAGCCCTTTGTAGCTTACAGAGCAATTCCACCCACCCAGACCCACAAAGCTGGGAAGGGGCTGGACCAGGATTCTGCAAGTTCAAGTCAGAGCCCCAGCCTCTACTCCACAGCCAGCTTGCCAAATCCAGGTGTCGGCTGGCTGATCGTCCTGAGAAGAGCTAAAAGCTAGAGAGTTTCTATGGGGGCTGGCTTTGAAAGGAATTGGAGGGGCCGTTCTGGACTCCAAGAAGTCCGGAATCAAAAAACTTCTCTGGCGAGCGTTCCTCCTCCACGTTCCTCCGGATGAGGTGGGTTTCAGAACCCCTCTGTGGTTCTCAGGATGGCGCATCCTGCTGGGCTTATCAGAATTTCCTGCAGGGCTTTTTCACTTTACAGAGCCTATCAGATTTTGTACCCCCTACCTCGTCCCACGGCCTTTCTCCTCCACATGCTCACATGCTTCCCCCCCCCCCCCCCCCCCCCCCCCAAGGATCTCAGCCTCCGTGGGCCTCTGTGACCAGCGGGCGTAATAGGAGGCAACTGTGATGAGAAGCATGGCCTGGATCGTCAGGGGAGCACCACCACGGTACCCACCTCAGGTCGTGGTGAGGAGTCTATAAACTAAGGCTTGGAAAGGATTTAAAACACAGCTGTGCCTGGATGCCTGGAACACACACGGATTTTTGCTATTTTTAAGGAAAAGAGAAGATTTGACTACCTAAAACTTTCAAACATTTGCATGTTAAACACCAATAAGCAGTAAATACGATATCCAAAGGGCTCACTTCCGTACCCAAAGCTTTCTCAACTCAATGAGAAAAACACGCAAGTCCCACAGTTGACCGTTAAAGAAGAGACAATTAGTGAACCTACTCGCTGAGGGTGTGTGGATGCTCTCGTCCCGACCTCACAAACCCAATGAAGTGTGTACATGATTAGACCCAGATCGTGAACAGCGACCACCACAACAGGCTCGAGATGCTTGCGTTCTCCAGCAACGTTTCTACCTTACAGCACAGTCCATAACGCACAATTTTTGTTATGTTACAATGAAAGATTTATGTCTTGCTCTTCATTTTCTTGATCCGTGGCATAATTCCTTCAACTCTGGCTAAGGTGGTTGGAAGGAGCTATTTTCAATCTTGCAGAACCAGAAAAATGAAATTTCATATGTTCCGTTGTCTTTGATGATGTTTACAGATTTCTGGCTAAGGCGAAGTGATATACAGCCCAGAAGTGCAAAGGGGAAAAGACTCCTGAGGTCACTGGTTATGAATTCACGTGCTTCCCTTCCCTTTACGATGAAGCCACAGGCTCCCTCGTCAGCACCGAGACATCGGGGAACCCAGGACAATGAAGGGCTTGCATCTGCCTTCCCCGGATTATGGCCCATTCTAGAGAAATGGAACAAGTTTCCCAGCTCGGTGTCTTAGAGTCGCACACAGTTGCTCCCAGGCACAACCTGGGGAATTCATCGGTTCTGTGTTTTTCAAATTATGCTCCTTGGGAGTCACCCCAAGGCAGTTTGGAGAAGGAACCGAAATTATTTTGTATATTGGTTTCCACCTGAAGAACAATTTCTGCTGCTAAAAGAAGTTTGAAAACTGCTGAGCTAGTCCAGCAAAATAAAGAATTAAAGAAAATAAAGAGAAGCTGAAAGAGGAGAGCTGAAACCGTGACCCAGGTCTCCTGGCCTCAGTGCTGTTTCTCCACCCTCCTGGCATACCCTTAAGTCCCCACATCCAGGAAATGAGGGTTGTTTGGCTGGTCCAACCCCAGCTTTGAATAATCAAAACACTGACCAGTGTGCTGAGCCCCTCCCGCCTGCCAGGCACCTGCTAAGGGTGTAAGCAGGCAGGATGTTCAGTTCAGGTGAGCCAAAAGACTGAAATAACAGTTGATTCCGCAAGAGAAAAGTTTATTTCTCTACAATGTGGGCAGTTTAGAGTTGGTATGGCAGTTCCACAAAATATTTAGGAATCTGGGCTCCTTCCAATCTGTGGAAGCAAATGATCAATAACCATTCCATAGATAAGAGAGACAAGGTGATGTTCGCTTGAGCCGGGCTGAGGACTATACTCCAGGAAAGTGGCCTCCACAAAGGAAGAAAGTGTTCCCAAGAAGCGAGGTGAACAGCGTGGTTACATACTGTTTCAGAACATACATCAAACCCGACAGGAATCCTTTTTTTTCTTTTGCTGTGGTCACAAGATGTTTTGTGTATACAGCAGGTCAATCTGACCCTGGTTTCTGGGAAGGAATGCTTATCTTCAAAGAAATGCTGATATGGGAGGGAGGTATGCCTCCCTATCTTTAAAGGCGGCATTCTTTGCTTTAGGATACTGCTTAATGTTTAAAGCAGAAGTACAATGCACACTCGACTTGCCATAAGTCAGGCCATTCTGGAAAAACAAGTTCAGGCCAAATCAATTTTAAATCAAAATGGCTTCCTCATATACTTCAATATATGAACTTTCCTTGTTAGTCTTATTGCTTTTCATTTATTCCATCAAATCCATCACTCTGTTATCCCAAGAGTGTGATATTTGACCTCATGTTCCAAGATGGGAACCAGAACTCCAGCCACCACATCTATATTTCAGGAAGCAGAACAGAGGAACAGCAACAAATAAAAGGAACAAATGGAGGTTTAGTTGCTTTTAAAAGAAGTGTGTTAGTCAGGGTTCTCCAGAAAAACAGAACCAAAAGGATGTATATATGTGTGTGTGTGTGTGTGTGTGTGTGTGTGTATGGAGAGAGAGAGAGAGAGAGAAAAAGCTTTACTATGAGGAATTGGCTCATGCAATTATAGAGTCTGAGAAGTCCCATGATCTGCTGTCTGTAAGCTGGAGGCCAAGGAAAGCCAGTGTTGTAGTTCCAGTCTAAGCCCCAAGGCCTGAGAACCAGAGGACCAAGGGTGTAATTCCCAGTGAGAGTCCGAAATCCAGAGAACCAGGAGCACCGATGTCTGCGGGCAGGAGAAAATGGCTGTCCAGTTCAAGCGGAGAGAGCCGCTTTGCCCTGCCCCTGCCCTTGTGCTCTATTCAGGCCCCCCAAGTCTGGGATGGCGCCTGCCCATATTGGTGAGAGGGATCCTCATTACTCAGCCTCCTGACTCGAATGTTGACTCTCCCAGAAACACCCTCACAGACACACCCAGAAATGATGTTTGACCAGGCATCTGGGCATCCCCTAGCACAGTCAAGGTGACACCTAAAATTACAATCACAGGAAGTATTCCTGAAAGCTGCCACATTCCACCTCTACGTCTCTCTCTTCAAACAGAACTGACTGGAAAAAAATGAAAAAGGATGGAACAGGTAGACTTTTAGTCCAGATGGCCATCTTCACAGCTGAAAATTGGAGCATCTGTTACAAAGACAGAACGGGGACCTGACCTTGGGGTTGGCAATTCGCAGTCTCTGCCACACAGGGATTATTTCATTAATCCCCCTAACAGCCCCAGGAAGTGACTTCTCTTATTATCTCCATTTTACAGATGAGAAAGCTGAGGCTTAGAGACTCCTCACAAGGTCTTATACTCGAAAGCCCAGCTGTCATCTTGATGAGGACTTTTAGGCTGGTTATTTTTAAAACTGCAGATGAGAAGCAAGCTCGAGGACTGGAATTTTGCTTGCCCTTTTGAGACATTTGCGTTTGTGAAGGAAGGGGGGATGACCTTGTAGGGACCTGAAATTGGCCACCCCAGGATATGTCTCTTTGGCATCAGGATTGTTTGGGGCTGATTGCTTTCGATAAACTGGGACAGGGAAGGAGGCTCTGGGGAATGGAACTTGCCCTTGTTGGGACACATTTACATTTGTAAGGTAAATCTCTATCTGTAAAAGGTGCCTCCCTCTCTGTACCAGGAAGAAGAAGAGAGATGACCTTATCCCTA